TAATTTACATAATATACACACCCATTTATCTCTTAACCAAAAATATCAATATAATATACCCACAAATTTATTCCAACCTAACCAAACATATTTCCCTAACACATTCCCAGTAATCTTCAAGGTAATCTATCTTTCTATTAATATAACATTCTCTAAACCAAACGCACCCTAAGGGTGTGTTTGGTTGGGGGTTATGAAGATTACTTTAGTAATGTCATCTTATATTACTGACATTACCATGTTTAATTTTCAAGTAATAAAATATTCTTGTAATCTTCTAAAACCAATTGTAATTACTGTTGATTATATAGATGGTAATCTGAATATTACCATTTTTTTAGGTATTCTAAGATTACTTGGTAATCTTAATTTTGTTATGATTTTACCCCCTAACTAATAAATTTTTTGGACATTATTACCCTTGTTTTGAAAACAATTTACCTAGAACACCTTTGCCAACTTCTGATGATTGTCGACCATCGCCACCACTTGAGAACAACCAAGTAGATCTGGCATTTGTTAATGGCTAGCTCGGCGCATAGTGGCCAGATCCGATTAATTGTGCGCCGTTTAGGTCACGGCTGGCCGCGACCGATAGTGGTGGTCAACGATCGGCATTGACTTGGGTGGGTGGGGTGATTTTGTTTAAATTTAAACTTTTATTATGGCAGGAGTGTTTTAACAAAATTTCAAAGTGTAAAGAGTTAAAAGAAAAAATTTGAATAATAATATTAAAAAAGAAAGACAATTCGGTAATCTATATAATATACCCACCAATTTATTCAAATCTAACTAAATACATTTTTACAATCTTTAAGGAAACTTATTTTCTCATTAATATAATATTTCCAATAACATTTCTTGAACCAAATGCATCATAAAAGGAATGGTTTATACAATCCAACAAAGCTTACCCCTTAAAGCAGTTATGAAAGGACACGTGGCCTAAACTCAATGGGACAAATGGTGCTAGCTCGAGGAAACCCTAATAGTATATAAAGGAAAAGACACCCCCAGAGATACGTTCTTAAATTCTATGGCACTCACTCCTAGAGAAAATACTTTGAACGAGGGCATTGGTTCGAGGAAGAAGGTCTCTTCTTGGTCTCACTGTTCTCAAAACTCACCAACGAGCTACCACTGATAATTCTTGACTAACTTGAGTGTCAATGAGCTTACGCCACCGACCTCCAACGTCGGTTGAGCTTTTGATGTTGTGTTTTTCATCTTATCAGGAGAACTTGGAATTGGACCAGAAGAAGAGGGAAAAAGAAAATCTAAATCAGAATAGTGTTTTTAGTTGACCTTGGGATCCAATTTCCGATGTTAACAATATTTTTGTTGAAGTATGCTATGGGATGGACATAATATCTGTCCCCGCCAGGACCCATCCTGAATGGGGCGAAGTTTCCCTGAATTATTCGGGATTTGAGTTGGGCCCGAGTCAAAAATCGATCCTCGAATTCGGGGACGAGATTAGTCTTACTCTGGCCTGACCTGTCGCCACCCTGTTTTATATATATATATATGAGAAAGAGAGAGAGAGGTTTTAATTTTAACCATTTTAATCCTATATTAATTTTAATAGTTGAAAATCAATCAATGATTAGTAATAACAAATGTCCTAAAATACTATTTTACTAGAATGCCCTTTAGATGATTACTAGATATAAATAATTAAGGGCTTGTTTGTTTTATTATTTCAAACCCTATTCTCTATCATATTCCCAAAATACTTGTTTGTTTAATTATTTGGGAAAAACTATTCTAGTTTTTTAATCACTTTTAGACCCCTTAAGTTTATTAACTTAATAAACACCCCCAGAAAAAAGTTTAAAAATTAACAAAAACAACCCCACCCACCCATAGTTTCCAAATTCCGGCAACCACCATCAGTAGTGGTCGGAATATATCACAACGGCCTAAAAACGATTGGAAATGGCCGTTTATTCACCGATCTGGCCTTTTCGACTAGATCCGTGGTGGATCTGGCCGGAAAAGGCCAGATTTGGCCGTCAGTAATGGCCAAAGAAATGGCTGTCGTTGACGGCCAACTCTTGGCCGTCATTGACGGTTAACAACGACCAACTCTTTGATTTGGCTTTTTGCGGCCGTTGATGGCCAGATCTGGCTGTAGATCGACACTCCACCGGCCAGATTTGACCAGTCTGAGTCGCAACAGCAGATTCTGACCAAATTCCAACGATGGTGGCCGGAATCTGGCCCTACGGTGGTGGGGTGTTTTTGTCATTTTACAAATTGGGTGTTTTGTAATTAACAAAGCTAAGGATATTTTCGTCCACATCATCCACTGTTTTGGGGCAAAATTGGACAGAAATTTGCATTACCGAAGTAATATTTTAATACCACCCTCCCCACAGGTAATATTATTCCCGGTGATTTACCCCATTTTTGGCACTGTTTGTCATCTTATTTTCTGATAATGTTTTTGTACAAAAATGCCAAACACGGTAATCTGCTCAATTAAACAAATATTACCCTTGTTAAAAAATTTCAACTTGATCCAAACGGGCCTATGTATAATATTATGTATTGTTTAGAATATTAATGAGACATTGTAATGTATATGGTATAATTTATTTAAAATTTATTATAATATATTATAAATTATAGATAATATGCTATTATCCGGAATCATAATATCATATATTTATATATTAATACTTGTTACTCAATACAATAATACATAATATTATACCATTAATATATAATATATTTACATATATGTATAATGTATCATAATTACAATTTTGATATTTTGATCCATTAAAATAAATCATTATAATATTTTTTAATCATTAAAAAAAAAATTATAATGTAAAACCCCAAATGGGACTTTTGAGGATTCCCCGAATTCTCCCGTTTGGGGATTGGGCCTAATTCGGGGATTCCCTGAATTCTCCGTTCGGGCTACGGATCAGGATTGGGGAATCCCCTTGAGCTTTCGGGCTGGGGTCGGAGAGAGGGGTCCCTGGCCGTGCCCATCCCTAGTATGATAAGAGTTGATGGTGTAGTTGGATAATTTCTCTCATCATAATTAATTAATTCATTATTCTAGTGTTTTTCTACTTTCTAAATAAATTAAAAATTGTATAGTTTTTCATGTTTGGTTGACATATAAGAAAATGGGGGACGGAGTATCCGAGGGGTGGGGATGCTGTTCGTATCAGACAAATTGCACCAATATTTCTTTAGATATTATCTCCATCTGTCCAGAGGCCAATGGCGATATTTAAGTGGAAGATTGTTTTAATCGTGCCATGTTAAATAATAACAAAAACAATATAACAAAGGCAAGAAAGCAGGGTACATAGATCGGTATACATTTTTGATGTAAAATATTCGGTGCCTATAGCTTTTTTGTAACAAAGGTCTATTTTAATATTCAATTTATGTTAAATATTATAGGATATAAATCTCTATATGATTGTAATTAAGGAGAAAATTATGAGAAGGTAATATTTCATAAAATAATAGGTGACCAAACAATCATTCATTAATTGATCTCTCATTCGATTGTGTAACCAATTTTTCACAATATTTATTGCATAAAAAAGTCATTTTAATGGTCGCAGTTGTAGCTAGTAAGGGGTGTTTGTCTGAGCTTATGAAAATTAGCTTATAGCAACAATTACTTCTAAGCTAAAATGAACTTATAAACATTTGAAATTTTAAGCAATTACGTGTTTGGTTAAAGTACTTATAAGTGACTGATAAATAATTGGCGTGTTTGGTAAAATGTGCTTATAAGTTATTTTATTATAAAATTACTAAAAAAGGTACTACATTAAATAAATGTATACTATGGAATTTTAAAATTAAGCAGGATAATGTGGTAATATACTTGTCAACTAGCTTTATAAGCAAAGTGCTTATAAGCAAAAAAAAAAAAAAAAAAAAAAAAAAAAGTACCTCCCCCCCTAACATAATATCACAAGGACGCATATCAATAACATAAGTCTCAGCCTGGTTCTCAATTATCAACTCAAGTGCAGAAAAATCAGATGGATAAAACTGGACAAATTGGATCAACTTATGCTTGTCAAAAGTGAAAATGAATTACTTGGATTTAAACATGTCATATAAAGAAGCAACCCAGTACTAACCTCAGTGAAATGAGTGTTAAGTTCTTAAAGTTTTGTATAAAACAATTCAACTCGATAGTAATGCAAATTTGTCATGTGCTCAACTCCCCATCGTGGTCGTCTGCGAATTGCAAACATATCATCCATATTCAAAATAGTAATATCATGCTTTTGGCAAAATGAAGAAACTTTACTAAACAAAGATTCTCATCCTTTGTCTCTCAACAATTGTAACTATTGTTTGCAAACTTTGACTAGGGTTATAGCATTTACAATGTCTTGATCTTTTCTCTGCAATGTTTGTGACAACTCATTACTAATTGCCAATATACTCTTCATCGTATGCAGCTAAATGCAAAAATTAAAAGAATGAATTACATACTTCTCGCCTGTGTTGAGGATTCAAACTATCTTTTTCAATAACCTCAAGCACATCACCCATAGAGGAGAACAAAATGATTAAATTGATCAGCTTTCTATTGTAAAAATGCCTAGATTTCTCCTCTCAGTTACATGCAAACCCAACAGCTTTTATTGTTTTCATTTTCACTCTCAAAAAACTTTTAAAAACTAACAGACCCTTTGCATAAAAATAAAAATAACAAAAAATATGTAATAAATATATTAAGATTAAAAAGGGCGTTTTTAAAAAAAAAAAAATCCGAACTTAGCATGGACCAAGCCCTTCCGCTCTCAAAATTTCAAAGTTGATAAAATTTAAATAAATATAAATATAAATTTAAAATCCTAAATTTTTAAAAAATTGAGTGGATCCCCACTCGTCATTCATTAAATCCGCCCCCGAGTCTCTATATGACTGCAATTAAGGAGAAAATTACCAGAAGATAATATTTCATAAAATAATATGGAATGTTGTTTTTCGCTGGAAGAAATCAGCAAGTGACATGTGCAGGAGTCACGCCATAAATAGAAGTTAGGAGTTGGGACAAGTCACGCATTCTGACTTCACTCACTCACTCAATCAAAAGAAATGTCAGTTTCTTTGCGATCTCCGCCCTCTTCAGCTCTCTCTTCTTCTTCCTCTTCTCTCCAGGTACTACTCTTACCTTTTATTTATTATTATGTAATTATTATTTTTATTTAACTTTTTTAATCCAATTCAATTGATTGTAGGGAAGAAATGTGAGGCTATTCTCAGCCGCTTCTTCTAATGTATACTTCAACTTGAGAACATCTTTTCCTCTTATTCGCGCTTCTTCTTCTTCGCTTGATGCTGGTCAATTTCTCTCTCTCTCTCTCTCTCGTTTACTTCAATTTGTTTCTTTTTTCAATTCTTGTTCTTTTGTTTTAAAGGATTGAGTACCGAGTTGGATGCTGTGTCTAGCTTCAGCGAAATCATTCCTGACACTGTCATTTTCGACGATTTCGAGAGGTGTTCAATTTCTCTCTGTTTCTCATTAAAATTCCTTACATTATCTCCATCTGTTCTCTTAGTTATCTTTATTTATTTATTTTAAATCAACAGAAATCTTTTTATCTTTTAATTGTGTTGCTGATAATTGTTTTCTAATAATTTATTGTCTAGGTTTCCTCCGACTGCTGCTACTGTTAGCTCATCTCTCCTATTGGGAATTTGTAGCCTTCCTGATACCATATTTAGAGTAAGCATCTCTGTATATAATGTTTAGCTTATGCAATTTGGTTTAAAGAGGGAATCGCATTCAATTTCCCTGTTAAATTGAATTTTATTTTGGGTATAGAATGCTGTGGACATGGCTTTGGCGGACTCTAGTTGTTGTAAGCTTGAAAACTCTGAGTTGAGACTGAACTGTTTCTTTAACAAGGTTGGTTTTTCTATATCTTGTTAGGAAATGCATGTGCCTTTTTTTTTTTTTTTTTGGACTATTGATAAGGTTCACGCTTGGAGATGGATGTGTAGGCTTTGGTAAATGTTGGTGGTGATTTGGCAAAACTGGTTCCTGGTCGGGTTTCAACAGAGGTCGATGCACGACTTGCTTATGACACACATGGAATTATTAGGAAGGTATTTGATTGCCTTTCAGGTTCATTTTTTTACTCCTCTTGCACTAAAGCAATGATGAACTATTTGATTGAGTTTTATTTTAGATTAAATTTGTAATAGTTTTTTTTATGTCTGAGCACCTACAAATAATATATTTGTTGCTGCTGTCTCAACCAGGGATTGGTTGTATTTTAGGATTAAATTTGTAATAGTTGTAATAGTTCCATTTCTTGAAGATAATTGTGATATTTTATCTTGCTTATGTAATGGTTTATATATGTTTTATTGAGCTTTTTTGTATTAAGGTTTATTAAATATTAATCTTATACTAGCTTATCGACGTTGTTTTCTCTTGTGAAATTATTCTAAAAATTGAGGGTGCTTTTTCTTATTTACATATATGGATTATATGTTTTGGAGAACGGGTGGAGGGTGGGGTGAGAGAGAGAGAGAGAGAGAGAGAGAGAGAGGTTTCTTGCTTCGTTAAATCTTTATTTTGGTCTTCTTCGTTCCATGTACTTTCTATCTCAAGTTATGTATTTGGTTCATTCAGCTAAAGCTATTGCAATTTGACTTGCAAGATTTTTAGGATTGTCTTGTCATGTAATTTGATACCAGTAGCTTATCAAATATGCAGGTTCATGACCTATTGAAGTTGTACAATGAAATTGATATCCCTCTTGAGCGTTTGTTGTTTAAAATTCCTTCAACTTGGCAAGTAAGTATCTTAGTGGAATAGATCTGTGTTGGGGATTAATTCTTTCTTTAGTGATTCCATTTCGCAAACCAATTTTTGTTTTCATCCCTTTTTGGCTTGTCACTAATTGAGTTTCTTGGCCAGGGAATAGAGGCCTCGAGACTGCTGGAATCTGAGGGCATACAGACCCATTTGACCTTTGTTTACAGGTACGTTTTAAAGCTTTATCTTGAAAATCAATTCAGTGTATCATTTTTGATTCCATCTATTTTAATTGTCTACAATGCTAACTTGCAACATTTTTACATGATTTAAATGTTGAATGATGTGTTCAAGTTTACAAAATTAGTCTAGATTGTCTTGCCCAACCCTTGAAGAGTTAAGATATGATTTATAACATAACAATTAATTTTAAATATATCAAAACCAGAAAAAAAAAAAAAAAAAAACCTCATGGTCTTATTCAACTAGATCCACAGTACAACTTATTTTTCCAAAGAAAAGTCTGCTACACAATTAAAAGAAATTGAACTTCCGAGTTTTAAGTCTTAGTTGAGGCTTTTGCAGGACGCCATATAGGTCTTCAATTCTGGCGCTGACACTAGCTTTTTTAATTCAGTCTTAAGGGCTTCCTAAATGTCTAGCTTGGCGTTCTGCAATATATGCCAAATATGAGACAAAGCTTAGTAGTTCCTTGAGCCCCTTCTCATACTCCATCAAGGACATGGATCCTTGAGTCTTACTAATGTATTCAATTTCCTTATCATCCCTCAGAGACCGTGGGAAATACTTGACTGAATAATTTTTTACATCTGGTTCATGTGACCCTATTCTCATTAACATTTTGAACCTTTTTGTCATCTCACAAATTGGTAGCACATCCTTTAAGCATATAAGTAGCACAAGTGACTTATTGTGCATTTGTTTACCCCTCCGTGCTAAAAGTTTTCTCCAACGTATAGATCCATTCTTCAACAAGTGGATTTTGGAGCCCTCAAAGCATGAAAGTTGGAGTTTCCTGAATTGCTTGACAAGCTGGCATTGCCCTTACATGGGTTGGTTCTGAACAATTATAGTTATTGCTTGTAGGAATGCCTCAAATGCAACATTAGCATCCATTTGGATTCAGCATTTCCCCTTCTACGACCATCAATTGTTTGATTTCTCCTTCAATTTCACCTATCTCATTTATAGTAGGATGAATTTGTGACATACTTTTATCAACTCTCAAATGATCCAAATATGAATCACCAATAGCAAGATAAAACACCATATGTAAATTTTGATAATCCAAGTGTAAGAGATCCTAATAGTTTGGCGTTGATTTGGTCCCTTGATTGCTCTAACTAAATGTTTACAAAACCCTACACTGTGCTCTAATACCAAACAATCACTCTCCAATGTGTGAAAGGTCAAGATATGAATTCTAACATACCAGTTAATCATGAATTCTAACATAATAGTTTATCTTAAATACATATAAACCAAAATGACTTGAGAGTCTTATTCTATAAGGTCCTCAAACCAACTTATTTCTCTAAAGAAAAAGTCTGCCACAATTAAAAGAAATTGAACCTTCAAGTTTTACCTATAAGAGCAGGGAGTCCCAACTGCCAAATCCACTGTTTAATCTTGTTTATCATCAATCCAACAAATCACAATAAACTAAGAGTTTATTTTATTTACCTCTTCTGAGATAGATTAATATGAAGCTCACCCACGTTTATCAAAAAGTAAACCAAACCTCCTTATTGTTAGCATTTGTTAACAATCAACTTTATTAAACTAGTGAAATATCTATTTTAATCTTATTACTTCAAATATGGTAATTTAAAAATACTTAAACACAAATCACAAATATATCCTGTAGCAGTATCCTTCATTATAAATTGTCAATTCACTTCAGCACAAAAACAAATGAAGTTCATTTATTATAGGCTTCTCAATTCAATTCAATGCAAAAACTTTTCACTATCTCAACAAAAATGAAATTGATCACATCTAAACTAAATTACACACTAAATTTAAAACTAAGCAACTATAGAATTCAATAATAAAGATTCGTATGAAATAATTTCAACATAAAAAAAAAGCAGGCAGGCTTATACTTAATTAGTAATTTCAATTATAATTCAACGATTTTTTGAATGTTAAGGTGACAATTCAAACAAAATTATACAAAATCATGGTGAAAATCAAATGGACCCTAATCTTAAGCTTTGAGTAGATAATATTCTTCTGTGTAATGTTAATGTAGCATTTATTTATGTTGCAAATGTCTCACATAAATAACGTCTAGCTAGTTACTTGAATAGTCCATGCAAAATGTAAGTTCATTCTTGGTATGTTTTAGTTCAAATAACATTTGATTGTGATGCATAAGTCGCGTCTTTGGATAAAACAGCTATGTGATAGAAACTAACATATGAATCTTTTCTGAAAAAGGAATTAAAACCCCCAGCTTGTGTAAGTAGCTTTGCCATTATGCTTGTCCTTAATCTAGCTCATCATATCAGAGCGGCATTTTACTTCCACTCTCAATTTTTTCTTCTAGATTTTCATAATACTTTGTGCTTATTTCTTAACTAATTCAACTTTACTTTTTAATTATTGGCTTGGCCGTGTCTTCAGCTTTGCTCAAGCTGCAGCTGCTGCACAAGCTGGTGCTTCTGTTATTCAGATTTTTGTTGGGCGCCTTAGGGTAACTATATTCCTTCAGAGTGTTAACATGGTTTAGCAAATATTTGGTTTGTTCAATGGTGACACCATTGAATTTCATTTGTTTTCTTTCAGGATTGGGCACGCAATCATTCTGGTGACCCCGAGATAGAAGCTGCTCTTAATAGGGGGGAGGATCCTGGGTTAGCATTGGTTAGTTGAATAATATCTTTTGTTGTATTTGTATTTGTTAACAATGTTCAAGAAGATTTTTATTTAAGTGATATGATATGTTTACTGAAATTATATACTTAAGCCATTTTATACTTTTTTTAAGACAATATTAAAATCTGAATTCCATGGTTTTTAGGGATTAAATGCTGCTTCTTTTTTTCCTTCTTTTATTTTTTTATTTTTTTCATATTAAAGAAAATCTTGTCTAGTTTATGGTTGGTTTAATTTGTACAAGAATTTCTATAGAATTGAGAGAGCTTATCCTTTTCTTTTTTGTTTACACATCTTGCAAACATTTAGACAAATCTTATTTTATTATTTATGCTGTATCTAGATCTGTACTTTTTCCCAAGTAATGTGGAACTATGTTTGCCAAAGCCCATTATCAATTGCCTTCTCCATAAGTAGAGCAGTGTGCTTTCCTTTTTGCTAACAAGGTGCAATAATTCGTTGGTAGCATGTCAACATTACATTTCAGCCTGATTTTCGTCATTTTCCAAATTGCTGATGCCTGAGCTCTTCAGTGGTAGATTACCTTAGATGTATCTTTCTAGCTCAGTCTTACAAATTTTAGCAATGCAAGGCTTTTAGAAAAATAGGGATGCTTTCCCCTCCTCTCACAGTTGTGTGGAGTAAATATCATGTGTGCATATCTTTGTATTTCATCAGCTACAGTTTCATGACATTAAAAATAAAAGATGTATTTCACCAGTTACAGTTTCGAAACATAAAACATAAAATAATTATTAATAGGCATCTCAACATAGGACTGAAGTTTGCAAAGTTTGCTTGACTTTTTGTATTGAATTGTCCAAGTTGCTACTTGGTTTATATTGACAATACTAGAAACCGACAATTTTTTGAAGCCATTTTAATGTTATCCTTCATTTCAGGTGACAAAAGCATATAATTATATACACAAATATGGACACAAATCAAAGTTGATGGCAGCAGCAGTTCGAAACAAGCAGGATTTATTCAGTCTTCTGGGGTAATTATATGAATCACCTTTGATTCTATTTAACTGGATTATTTTGGTAATTTTGATTTCAGGAATGATCTTTACTGCTCATCTTGTGTCTCACTCCTTTTGTTCAGGGTTGACTATATCATTGCACCATTGAAAGTACTGCAGTCTCTCAAAGAATCCGTCACTTCTCCTGATGAGAAATATTCTTTTGTTAGGAGGCTAACCTCAGAGTCTGCTGCCAAGTACAATTTTAGTGAAGAAGAGGTCTGCATTTTTCTCAAAGTTGCAATTTATATTTTCCCTAGGCTTTAGTAGTTTTGCAATTGAACTTACAAATAGAGTAGTGATTATCACTTTCTTATAGTGCTATATAAAGAATCGGAAACCTGTTTTAACACTGGTTATGATTAGTTTTCCACATGCACACTAGTTTGAAGGCGATATGGACCAAGATATCCAAGTCTTTCATTGGTTGACGTCTTTTCGTTTCTGTTGCTTAAATAGCAGACCAATAGATAATAGTCTTCTACTTCCGATTTCCAATAGACTATTTTTCCACCAAGGTTTTCAAAATTCCTTTAGTTAGTCTTCTACTTCCAAGTTCCAACAGACTATTTTTCAATTAAGGTTTTCGAAATTCTCTTAATGGTCTATAGCTAAATCTTCAAAATTCACTAGTTAGGCATTTCCTTGGTAGCAGTTCACTAGTATGGGAGTGTTCTGAAGTTGGTGATGTTCCTTATAAAGGGATCAGCTATTCCCTGTTATAGCTTGTAAAATGTGTTTTTTCTTGTCATTTTTAACCTAAAAGAGAGAGAACTTGAAGAAAAATGGTATTGTAAATGGAATTTATAAACTTATGAAAAGTGAATTAAAAATTTTCATCAAGTGCAATGCTCTATTAAATGTAAGAAATGGGTTAACTTGTTAGATGAGAAAATGATAGTAATTGTTTTGCAATGGTATGTATGATTGATTAGGCGTTGATGTTAAACATTGTGAATTAGAAGGGGAGAATGTGGGCTAATTGATGTGTCATTGATGATCAGCTGACAAAGTGGGATCAATTGAGCTTGGCATCAGCTATGGGACCTGCTGCTGTGGAGCTTCTGGGAGGCGGACTAGATGGATATGTAAACCAAGCAAAACGAGTGGAGGAGTTATTTGGAAAGATTTGGCCACCACCAAATGTGTGAATTGTTCCTTGTGTGAATAAGGGGAAAATGCCATGTTACTGTTGACCAACTTGTATGGTACATGGTTGGACTCAATCAAAAAGAGTTTGAAGTGATAAGCATCTGGTCCTAATCATGCCATAGTATTTGTGTATTCGTGTCATTACCCATATCTCCTGTATTCTCTGTGGCAATGAGTGCCAGAACTTTTGAAATTGGTGAGACCTTTCCACATCGTCACTTCAATAATTCACTACTGTTGCATTCCAAACATTTTGTGGATATACTCATTTCTCTTTTCATTCCTTTTCTTGGAAATGATGTCATTTGGATTTCCAAATTTTAAAACGGTTTGATCTATATGCATTATGCAAGACAATTATCATTTTATTTGCTTATTTTCTAAAGGTTGTGTTGGACACGGAGGCGGTGAATGAATGTAAATCCCAAATTGACTTCCAAGTTCACCCAACCTTGGCTGAATCAATCAATCAATCAATTGTGGCAGGTGTATTAGATTCTAGAGATTTCTAATCTCATTGTTTACCCATTTAATTAAGAATCATAAAGCTATAATAATACACTGGATTCCAATTTCCACATACACACAATGGCCTCATCTATTTGGACAAAACATAGGGTTATAGAATTATCGATGAAATATTCAATTTAATTTTGTAACCATATTCTGTTTTATGTTTCAAAATATAATTGGACCAAAATGCATGTGAAATCTGCCAAACCCATATGCATGTGGGAAACGTGCACAATCACATTATTATTTAAAAATGTTTTGTCTTGTTTTGCATTATATTACCTTGTTGTTTCTGTAATTATGAAAGGTCAGGAGTGGGGCGACAAATCGGCATCATCCATCACATTTAGCCAAACAAGTGTTCCTATAAGCATGTGCCTCTCAACATTTTTTGTTGCGTATAAATAAATTTTCATTTAATTAGTGGCCCGAAATTTAACACCCATCAGCATCATCTTTCAATCTGACTCAGCAATCCCTGTTTGGTTGAAGTTAATTATAGCCAGCCACGTGGTTTGACCCCACATAACCTAATCAATCATCTCATTTTTGTATGTTACCTTTCGCCACTCAATCATTCTCGTCGTATAGGTCATATCGTCAATTTTTATACACTTTCCAACTCAATTATTTCATTCAAATAATCAAATTCTCGAATGAAATATAGCAAGTTTGATAAAATCAAATTCCACTCTAAACCCAATAAGAAATCCTACCACAACACTAAACAAAAAGGATAACCCTAACCCACGAGACGACCATTGGATTTACTGAAAACCAATCTAACGGTTATTATAGAGAACAGCTATCCTATACAAAGAATAGATGAGATGACAACAAATATCGGAATCCTGATTGAAGTAGGACATATTTAGTAAAGTATAACCCTTATAAATTACAATAATAAAAAAAAAAATACAAAGTAATTATTACAGAGAGCAGAAACATTAGCTTTACAATTCCGGGATTAGGGCCACCAAGCACGAGAATAAACACACATAAACCTTGTTGTTTTTTGCAAGGTTAATATTATTATTTACAGTCAAACTCAAACACAGCACAGGTCATATTTTCTTTTTCTTTTTTTAATAGGGATAAATCATCAATCATACGTTCAACTTCCAGTTGTCCGTTCCAGTTTACTTGTTTAATTATTTGACAATTTCTAAATTACCTCTCCCTCAGTTTCGCCATTCAATTAATGTCATATATATATATATAGCAAGGCTGCAACCTTTAAGGATATACCATCTTCTTCTCTCTGTCTCTTCCTTCCCTTTCCCATTGTTGTTTTTACATTGTTTTCTTCATGGCGGATCCGAATCCATTGTTGCCAGCTTCAACTCTTGCCGACCCCACTTCTGAACAACGTTCGTTGAGCCGCCGCAACCCCACCAAGGTGCTCCTCGTCGCCTTTTGTGGGTTGTTGATGGTCGGTTTTTTTGTTGCATTAGTTAACGACCAGGGATCATTACGTAATGCCCATTTAAAATATAAAAGTAATGATGATCATAAGTCATCATTCCAACGCGGAATAGTACGGCCATTGGCTCGTGGGGTGTCGGCCGGCGTCTCCGATAAGTCGAATCGGCGGCTCGGTTCCAATGCCCGGTCTTTCCCATGGAATAACACCATGTTGTCATGGCAAAGAACGGCCTTCCATTTTCAGCCTGAAAAGAATTGGATGAACGGTACATTCTTTCTTTCTACTTTTCTAATTCAATATGCCAATGCTACACTTTTTTCTTTTTTTCTATGAAAAAGCATTACATTACTTTTGGGAATTTTTAAGACCTGCCACTTTATTTATTTTTCATAAGTTAACTTTTTGAAGGAAATTTTGGAATTTATATCTACAGTGATGACATCATGGTCAGGATGAGTCAAAGTCAAAATTTTCAAAAGAAAAAACATAGGTGTTACCGTGTTATTGTCCAAATAAATATGGCTTGCATTAATTTTGTTAATTGAATGCTGACTTTTGTTTGCTTGTTGTGAATGAATATGATTGCTCTGATGTGGAATTGTTGTTGGCGGTGGTTCAGATCCTAATGGTGAGCCCTCTTTCTTTTTTCCTTTTGTCTGCCACATGTCTTTCTCCTTTCCCTGTTACTATTACTGCTGCTTATTTTTATTTCTTAACACATGCTTACCTCTATTCACAATCTTAATATACAGTATTTTCAACTTTTACAAAATTGTGGTTTGAATTTGGCCATTTAGTTTCTAATAAACTAATCTATAATTTATTTATCTTTTTTTGAGATCTACCAAGCCAAGAGCTTCCATGATTGCCAACTAAGAATTTCCTTTCTAAAATAGACTGGTAAATTGAAGATATTGTCTGGATCCTCCAAACCACTGGCCTACATGTTACTGTGTAGCTGACACTTCATAATATTAAACTACTTAGAGAATATGTTTATATAATTGCAATTCTGAATGAATTTTGAAAATGAGTTGTTAAATAATATATATCATTTACCTGCAACATATCACAGGTCCAGTGTTGTACAAGGGATGGTATCACTTGTTTTACCAGTACAACCCAAAAGCTGCAGTGTGGGGTGACATTATTTGGGGTCATGCTGTATCAAGGGACATGGTCCATTGGCTTCATCTCCCTGAGGCCATGGTTGCTGATCAATGGTATGATATCAACGGTGTCTGGACTGGCTCAGCCACAATCCTTCCTGACGGTAAACTTATTATGCTCTACACTGGATCCACCAATGAGTCAGTCCAGGTTCAAAATCTTGCATATCCTGCTGACCCATCTGATCCTTTCCTCACCAATTGGGTAAAATACCCCGGAAACCCGGTTCTAGTCCCCCCACCAGGGATTGGTCCCAAGGATTTCCGAGATCCAACGACAGCTTGGTACACTTCTGAAGGGAAGTGGCGTCTTACTATTGGCTCCAAAATAAATAAAACTGGCATATCTTTGGTATATGAAACTGAAGATTTCATTAATTATAAGATGTTGGATAAAGAATTACATGGTGTCTCAGGAACAGGGATGTGGGAATGTGTAGATTTTTATCCTGTGTCAACAACAATAGAAAATGGGTTGGACACATCAGTTAATGGCCCTGGAGTGAAACATGTTATGAAGACAAGCCTGGATGATGATAGACATGACTACTATGCACTTGGTACTTATTATGAGAAGAATGGTACATGGATTCCAGACAATCCCAAGATTGATGTTGGCATCGGAATTAGATACGATTATGGTATTTTCTATGCGTCCAAGACCTTTTATGATCAGCACAATGGGAGGAGAGTTTTGTGGGGTTGGATTGGGGAATCTGATAGTGAAATTGCTGATGTCAAGAAAGGATGGGCATCACTTCAGGTACTATATTTTCCTTGTTGGGAAGTCATATATATATATATATATATATATGGTGTACTTGGTGTTCATATGATGACTTTGTTTAATGTTCAGGGCATTCCAAGGACAGTGGTATTTGACCAGAAAACTGGTAGCAATCTACTCCAATGGCCAGTGAAGGAGGTGAATAGTTTGAGATTGACCAGCAGGGAATTTGACAATGTGGAGCTCAAGCCAGGTTCAGTGGTACCACTTGAAGTTGGGCCAGCGACTCAGGTATATAATATGCTTTATATATATATATTTTATAAAGTAAAGTAAGAAAATTTGATCTTACAAGGAAATGCTTGGCAATGTAACAGTTGGATATCGTAGCTGAATTTGAGTTAGAGATGGAGGCTTTGAACAGAACATCTGCATCGAAAGTAGAGTTCAGCTGCAGCAGCAGTGGGGGTGCTGCTGAACGCGGCGCATTAGGACCCTTTGGCCTTGTAGTTCTGGCCGATGAGCACCTCACTGAGCAGACTCCTGTATATTTCTATGTTGCGAAAGAGAAAGATGGAAATCTCAAAACTTTCTTCTGCAGCGATCAATCAAGGTATAAAACCTGTGTTGCCTTAATTGGGAAGGTTAATTCATAAAAAAAACACCAACTGTTAATGTTAAACTGTTTGTAGGTCTTCTGAGGCAAGTGATGTTAACAAACACATCTATGGGAGCTTCGTTCCAGTACTAAAAGGAGAAAAATTGTCAGTGAGAGTATTGGTGAGTTTGATTTATAGTTGAGTTTTTAGCATTGAGAAAGTGAGGAATTAATTAATGAATTCTGGGAATGTTGCAGGTGGATCATTCAATAGTAGAAGGGTTTGCCCAAGGTGGAAGAACATGTATAACATCAAGAGTATATCCAACAAAGGCAATATATGGAGATGCAAGGGTGTTTTTGTTCAACAATGCAACTGAGACAAGTGTTACTAGCTCACTCAAGATTTGGCAAATGAATTCTGCATTCATCCGTCCTTTCTCAAAGGCCGATTACGATATTTAAACATATCTATTTTCATTTTTGTATCCAACCACATATTAGCCAGGGAAAAAGAATTATCAACCAGTCAGTTGTCGTTGTAGAAATTCAATTCAAAACCTCAACGATTGCTGTAAGAAGTTTATAAAAGGCACAGCTCAGGAAATTGCTGTAAGAAGCACACAAAAAGCAAATTAATGAAACCTTTACCGCTAATCATGAGTTGAAAATTAATAATCTCTTTTAATGAATGATGTTTGTGTTGCAAGTGGAAAGAAGGAGAAGAGATACGCGAAAGCTATTGAAACAAACACTGAAATAATGCAATAAATGAGGCTTTACAAAGAGAGAGCGTCCACAAAGCCTACATCCAGTAATTGAACAAACCCCACTAAAGCCATTAAGAGATGACAACCTGACCAAATCAA